TTGGGGAATGACACAGACCGTAGAAAATGAAGAGTTTTGTTCGAGAAATGACAATGACTTGAGAACACTGGAGTGAAGAAGTCATGAATGAGATACAAAGATTTTCCTCAGTTACAGAACACAAGGTTGGTGATAATGGTCAACAATATTTAATTATATTCATTTTTACCAGAACACAAGAGCTTCAACATTCTAAATTTGTACTTTCCGACCACAACTTAGAAATAATTTGTTAATCAGCATTAAGATGATTTAGTTGGAATTGGATTTTATCATCATGCATGCCAGCTCTGGGCACCACCACTTATTAATTGTAAAGGCATCAAATAAAATACAAATCTATGTCTACAAGTATATTAAAAGTGCTTATACCTGCTTTCGTATCTCACTTCTGTTTAGGCCACTGGATCAACTAACTGTCACGAAATTTAAGAAACTGCAATTTTCACCAAATAGGTATATCACCTTTTTTTGCCTCTCTTGCAAAACACGGAGCAGAAAAAGCACTGAAACTTTCTTGTTCTTGGTAGGAGTGTGTAATCAAAGGTTTTCCACAAAATTGCAAGGCACAATAAAATTGAAATGTTGTTTTATCAACTGGGTAGATGAAGAGTCATCTAGACTCAAAACGTTAGCTTGCTCTCTCTTCACGGATGCTGCCTGACCTGCTGTGATCATGCAGCATTTGTTGCTTTCAGTACAGATTCCAGCAGTAATTTGCTCCTGGAATGCTCCATGGCTCATTTGCAGAGAATATGAGAGCCACAATGAAGTCATTTCACACAGAAATGTGTGAAGAAATGGTGCATTCCTCTGTCCCAACAAAATATTTCAAATAAATCCAATCGTGGAATTACAGGACAAGTCAGACTCTAAAGAGTAAAAGGGACAGTTTATTTTCTGATGCGAGACCTAATTCAAGTTTTGATGAAGGACTTTGTTCTTCTCCTGTCTTTGTCAGACATGAACTAACCTCTTGTGCATCTGCAGCCCTGTCTGCTTTGTTTTAATTCCACCAAATTGAAATCTGGGCTTCCTGCAACACAGAGCAACATCATTCAGAACACCTCACAGGACGTTTACGCAGCCATTTAAAAATAGGAGAGAGCTGCCTTGGATCTGACAGGCAAGATGTAGTAAATTTCCTCTTACAAATGTGGGATTATGCAAATGGGATCTTCAGCTGGCATTCTTGCTAACTATTTTTTAATCATTCTTCCATGGGAGGTGGGCATCTTTGGCTAGGCTAACTTAATGTCCTTCCCAAATTAAGGGGGTGACACTGAGTTGTCTTCTTGAACTGTTGCCATCCTTGGGGTGAAAATACACACACAGTGTTGTTACGGAGGCAGCTCCAAGACTTTTGCACAGTCACAGAGAAGGAATGGCAATACTGTTCTGAGTCAGGATGGTTTGTAACTCAGATGTGTCCTTGCACTTATCCACCTCGGTGGTTCAGGGTTTGGAAAGCGCCATGGAAGAAGCCTTGGTGAGCTGTTGCAGTGGATCTTGTAGATGGTACGTACTGCTGTCACTGTGTGTCTGTAACAGAGGGAATGAACATTGAAGGTGATAGGTGTGGCGCCAATTAAGCAGGCTGCTTTGTCTGGATGGTGTCAAGCTTCTTGAGTGTCTTTGGGGCTGAACTTATTCAGGCAAAAGTGGCGAGTATTCCATCACCCTCCTGACTTGTGCCTTATGGATGTTAGATAGGGATTGGTGAGTCAGGAGGTGATTTACTGACCGCAGAATTCATAGTTTCAAAACAGTATTTATATTGCTTCTGTAGTTCAGGTTCTGGTCAATGGTAACCCTGAGGATGTTTATTCTAAACTAACAAGAATGGCAGAACGAACAGCAGTGCAGGCAAGTTTACACTAGCTGGTACTGAGGTGGAGTGCACCCTCGGGAGCTTGATGCGTGTTTCCCAAAAAATTCTTGAATAGATGATCAACCGATGAGACCTCAGTCCTGAATTACTTCACGTGATTAATTGTGCTGTAGATGATCTTTGCAAACAGCTGCATACATGCTACGCTGTGACTAATCTTCCAAAACCTGTTTTCTATAAAGGGACTCCGGCTTAAAATTCTCCATTTGTCATCACACCATCATGCATAGTCACGACATCTCAGATCATCATCTCTTGCTGTCTGATCTCAATTGGTTTGCTTCTTCGAGTGCCACAAACTAAAAGTGCACTAAACATTTTTTTAATGAGTCACCTAAACTGTCTTTGACTCATTCCTAGGGGTATAAATCATTGACAACTCTGAACAGATGAAGCATACACATCTCACAGGTGAGATGTAGCATTAGGCCTTTCATTGTGTGAACACATTTAGAACTACTGGGGGAGCCTGTGCACATTTGATAAATGAGAGAAATTCACATTGCCAGAATTGAAAAGAGTAACTATGCTGAAACCAGCTGAAGAATACAGTATAAACCCAAGAAAATCTCGTGTATAAGTTGACTCCTAACATTTAGCCCAAATATTCACGTCCATATCATCCACCTGCCACTAAATTCAAACTCACTAGATTCCACATTTGCTCATTGATCAAATCATAGAGCAGTACATCACTGTCCAGCCCCTTGTCTCAGTGCATGTTAAGGCTCCTTGTTCATTATATTTTGAGAGTGGGTTGGTGGGACAGGTCCCGAGCTGGCAACTCCGCAACAATAAGGTGATGGGAGAAGGTGAATTTCAACTCTTAAATATTACTGGTGGAAAAGACAATCCCTCCACTTTTTAACTAAAAATTCAGTCTTAGAAGCTTGCCTGTACACGTGTGTCCAGTGTAAGTTGTGCTGGAAAAGCTGAACAGTTGGTTAGGTCCCATCACCCTTCATTACACAGACTCTATTGATTTTATTACTGTTACACTGATTGCCTGAGCAATGAAACTGCTTATCTTTTTCCTTAAACAGGTTCCTGAGCTTCGTTTGCCAGTTTTCGCATTGCCAATGAGATTTACAACATGTAGATCGCAATTGACTGGTTGATTGTGGAGTCTCTGAGTGTCAATCTCACAGCACACCCACATTCCCTTGCCATGCAGGTTCCCTTGTCGTGCACATGGCTGATAGTTAATCACACTGTTCGCATTCATCCTCATGCATTACTTTCGATCCCAGAAGCTATGCAGCTACAGAAAAGTGCACGCCCTGAACTGGCTCTGCCAGCCTGTTG